TCTTAATTTAATTTAATTTTTTTTTTTGCAATTAGGGCTGTCATTTTATGTCAGATAGTAAATATGTAACTAATATACCAAAGCTGTCATAATAGAACTAATTACACCGGCTGGTTACAGTACTGAACGATTGTTTACATGCCAATATTAACTTATACATTCTATTTACTTCCTGTTGTTGTTCTTATTTCTTTCATGTTGTGTATATACTACATACATCACTGCATATATTACTGTTGTTTTATTCAGTTTCTGTTCTCAAAATGATAGCTTTTATCACCAGGAAGCAGGCAATTTATACTATGCAATATGGTAGCATCACTAGGGGCCGAGGCATGAATGACTTCAGATTTTTAAACTGGCGCCTCTTTCCATTAAATCTTAGTGAAAGGGATAGACATGACACTAGTTTGGTGAGGCAAGGTGTTGGAGTATTTTGAAGAAGGCTCAAATTTCACCATTTCATTACAAAGTAATCTTTTGATCGTGAACTTTGCTATTCAATGGCTGAAAAATTAAACCTGGAAAACCCGATGAGTTAAGCCTAAAGAAATATGCACCACCAGTGGAGAGTAATGCTAATGTTTAAGTAGCTGAAATAGCTGTTTGCTTAGTGGAGAATGTTAGGTATCTGACAGAAGGGACATCTCTCTTATTAGTAATCAAATAGGGCTGACCAGTTGTTGCCATCACTCTGGGATTGTGTCAGGCAATTGAGAACAAGTTCAACACTTTATGGAACTCAAAGTACCAAAAAATCAATATATTTGCCTTTTGTTTTAGCTATGGAAATAATACAGCAGTGGATTGTTGCCTTGTGAATGGAATTTATTACGTATTATATAGTGTATATCTGTTTGAAAGTTTAGGAATCTTAGTTGAATAGTTAACAGAAAGTGACTTCCTACCGATGTTAATTATGACGTGATCTTGGAATATTTTTATCAAGTAAAGTCTTCTGGTTTTCTAGAGCTTTGTAATTTTTAAACATGTTGAACAGCATATAGATGCGAAGTATGATGTGCAGGTTAAATGCAAGTGGTACAGCATAGTGTGTGCACAGTCATGCTTAAATATAGATGTTGGACACAGTGATCATTTCCTCAATATTGAGCTTACGTCAATAAATGTACCAGCAAATCGCACTGGCAGTATATGAATACAATGGATTGCATCACAAATAACTTTTATAATTGTTAAGTGAGAAATACTTACTGATGTACTTGAACAACTGTCAGTGTGTGTGTTATTTGGGAACAAAATCTAAATAGTCAACGACACAATATCATTGCTTTTATACTTCCCTATATCTATCCCAAACATGTTATAATTTGATATTCTAGAAGCATGAGAGTATAAAAAAGCACTTGGGTAATGGGTTTACCATGTTTACTTGAATAAAGAAGATTGAAACTCCATTTACGCTTTGCACAAATGCTTTTGAGATCTTAATTATTGATGAAAAATCTGCTATGCTTCTAAATTTGAAGATATGGCAATTTTATAGGAATTTTAATCACCTCCTACATTAAGAAATGTAAAGGTAAGGCCTGTTTTTGCATAATGTAAAAAATGTATATTTTAGCCTTCTTAAAAGAGTTGTCATTTATAATGACAACCTTCTATTAGCACTTCGTTGCATACTCTGCTGCACTAGGAATTGTTGTTATTGCACTCTCAGTACTTTGACGTACATTTTAAAAAGTGCTGCATTTAATGCTTACATAAAAATTACTTCAGCTATGTTATAAGAGGAAAATATATTTTGATAGAAGGAATCATAAGATTGGTATAGTCTTTGGGGAGTATCAAATTGCATTTCGGATTTCTAATAATAATTTGTTTTGGATTGACGCATGTGTTCCTAGTTTATCACTTAAATTTGCTGATGGCAGAGCAGAATTTCTAGGCTGTATATCCTCTTCAGCATCACAGAATAAAATAGTCTAGTTAAATTTGTGGGTCAGTTTACAGCTTCTCACATGAAGTGTTAGCACTTGGCTTAAAAATTAGATACCATATACTTTACTAGATCTTTTTGGCATTTGGATACATATACCAGGTTTTGACCAGGAACATTTGAACTCTTGAGGATATCAACCCGTATTTCAAATGGGTATTGTGATATTTGGCTATGCATTTGTTCTGGGGGGGAAGAAAGACTATTTTTGATAACTTAGAATTTATTTTGCAATGGAATCAATGAAATTGTGAAATAGCTGTATGATATAGAGATGATTAATTAGGCACCATTACAAATTTTCAAATAAAATAATGATTTTGCATAGGAGCAAGTTAAAATAGTTTCAACTTTTTTATGTAAGGGTGTAAAATTTCACACAGTACAAACTACTTATTTTATAAGTCTTTTCCCTCATAGGAATGTTTTATATATTTTAGCTAGATTTCCCCACCCTCTTGAACACATTTCTTAAAAAGTAGTTGTAGTTCTGATAATTTATTTTGGACAATGTTTTGTCTGTTTTTTAAAATGTCATCCCTGTAATGGATACTGTGCACAAAAGAATACTATAAAGTAATTGTAGCCAAAGGATGCCTAGCAAAAAAAAAGAAAAAGAAAAAAGAAAAGTGTCCATGGGAAATTAGGCTGCCCCAAAGAAAGTCAAATAAAAGAAAAGACCTATATTTTTTATGTAGAACTGCTGAAAAGGATGAGAGTATCATTTTCATAGTGGAATAATGTTTTCTGGGAAAGCACAAAAGCAGATGTTCCTCATTAGGAACACCCATTGTCTACATATCACAACTATGAAGAGATAAATCTATCCTATTTCACCCATACATTCCAATGGCTGTAAATGATTACAGGATGCCGCTATAACTGCTAAACCAAAACCACACTGTGTGCTAAAATAATTCTTTTCTGCCATCATAATATTTTATTGGAAGGTATGGAAATTCCTGGTAAAAGACATCCTTTTGACTTTTCCTTTCCTTGTTTGGCTAGAATATATAACAGTGTCCAACTGTTGAAAACTGAAGAGACTGATTGCGAAAGAACATGGGAAGTCAGGGTTACATTACTATCACAACATTAAGAAGCAACTTGCTGGTAAAACAATGGCAGATCTGCCTGTGCACACGGAATGAGCTTGCAAAGTATTGCTGAGAGCATGCTTGGCATCATTTTTCCAGATGGTACTATCACAGTCGTACTGTTAGTTGGCATCTCTGTGGGTAGTAAATACTCTCCCTCCCCAATAAATCTGGCATTATTCTATAGAGTTTAGAAGACTTATAATTCCTAGTGTGTTCTACTTTTCTGTACAAAAGCCAGACATCTGTTTATCCCATTTTCTTTCATACAGAGTTTGGAATAGCTTTAGTTTTTTGAGGGTGGTGGGGGGAGAAGAAATTTTGTCATATTTAACAGCTGCTACAAACTTCCAACCCTGTGGGCTCTTAAAATACTTTTCAGCTGACCTCAGATTTTATACATAATTGACATTGTTTGCAGAGAAAAAATGCCCCTCTGTAGTTAACCTTTCATAGTCACTATGTAACTTTGTATTGTCTTCATTCCTGTTTCAGTGTGAGGGAAAGCTTAATAGTTTATATATCCTTCAGAAAGCTGATGAAATTATCAAGTTTTGTTTCATGCTTTAGATTTCCAAGAAATAGCTTTATTTTACTTGTAGCTAAAGTTTGTTCCTTCAAAGTAATTGTAGAATGGTAGCTGCAGACTGATTGGAGGTGGTGTGTGTTTTTTTTTTAGTCAACAGTGTTTCCTTTCACTTCCTGTCACAAAGGTCAAAGAAAGCTGACCTTTGCTGGCAGTCCTAGTCACTGAATTATTCATGTGATTGACTTTTTGTCAGTGCACACAGTTGTGCTCTGGGACATTTTATTCATTTACCTCATTTAAAGAGCCTTTCTGCACCTGTTCAAGTATTAATATCATGTAATTTGGGCCTAATGCCGATTTTGCTGAACACTCATTATATTTTTTATTAGCTATATTTCCAAACGATTATGTATGATTATTACCAAGCCTTACAAACAGCAATGGGTTATTCCCTAGACCTTTACATCTTCTTGTCAGGTTGTTTTCAGAAGCAAGGAGGATAAACATTTGACCAGTCCCAATGTTTTTATTCCTACTCCATATCCAACCAGAGAACTTAAAGCTTTTCCCTTATGGCTTTGTGAAAGCATGATTAAATCCAACTCTGCAGAAGCTGTACAAATGCCAGCATTTATAAGGTCAACGCTTTTGTTAAAAATGCTATGTAAATGAGGATCTGCAAAAAGGGACATTAAATAAAATTAAATTCATTGTCTTCTTTAATGTCATTTACATTTTGGCTAAGCCCTGGCCTGTCAAGGAGGATTTTTAAAATAATTTTAATTACACATCATTTAGGGATCCAAGGTTGTCTATTCAGTAGCATTTGGATAACCTGCAAAGCGTTGTCTGTTTATTAACTTCTTAAATGACAAGTTGTCATTTAATCTGCATAATGCAATGAAAACAGTGCAGTTTATTGTAAAATGTTCATTCTTAGTTTTCTTTAAGGAGTGC